CCACTTCTGGCTTTTTCTGCTTATGTGGTGCTGAGAATTGAACCCAGGGCCTCATTCATGCAAGGCAAGCACTCTACCACTGAGCCACCTTCCCAGCCTCCCCCCCCCACTTTTTTTTGTCAGTCATGGGGCTTGAACTCTGGGCCTGGGCGCTGTCCCTCAGATCTTCAGCTCAAGGTGAGCGCTCTACCACTTGAGCCACAGCACCACTTCTGGTTTTCTGGTGGTTCATTGGAGATAAGAGTCTCAGGGACTTTCCTGCCCAGGCTGGCTTTGAACCACGATCCTCAGATCTCAGCCTCCTGAGTAGCTGGGATGGCTGGCGTGTGCCACGGCGCCTGGCTAGTTCTTTTGCTTTCAGTTTGGGTCTCCTCCTTGCCCGACCAGGGCCTGTGACACACGCTCAGATGGGCAGAGACACACGACTTTCTCTCCTTATTTGTCATCAGTCAGGACACAGTCCACCTTGATCTAAACTCACCCTCCTTGCTTCTCTCCGTTGCAGGAAGCCTTGGGAGCAAGTCCCCAAAAAGCCAAAGCGGAAGAAAAGTAAGTGGCACTTGCTTCTGCCTAGTGGGAGGCCAGGAGAGGGGAGGGAGGACAAGGAAGGCCCCGAGAGGCCAAGACACCGCCATAGGCTGCACAGTCCGATGGCCCTGGCGGACCCTACCCAGCTTGACCATCTGCATGCCCCCTTCGCGCCCCTGTGTGGAGTTTGCCAGGACAGGCTGAGCAGAGGGGACAACTTGTACAAAGACACAAGATGGTTCTTCATGGGCCAGCTGGGGCCCAGCGCAGAGAGGGATTGAAGGCCGACTAGACAGGGAGTGGGTCCCGGGAGATGGAAATCTCAGCGACCCCTGGGAGTTCTGTCTCTCGCACCTTTCTCCTTCCATATTCTCCAACTTTGGGATCTGGGGGGCCAGTTGGGGGCTACACAGGAACGAGTCCCACCCGGCAAGGCCGGAACCCTGCGGTTGAGAGCAGAGCACTTGAGATACGTCAGCCGCAGTGAGCTGCCCCGGCCCCGCCTCCCTCAGGGTCCCCCACGAACGCACATAGAGCCGAGCTAAGACCTTGGGCCTGGGGCTGGGAAGGTGGCTCAGGGGTAGAGCGCTTGCCTCGCATGCATGAGGCTCTGGGTTTGATTCCTTAGCATCCTATAAGCAGAAAAAGGCAGAAGTGGCGCTGTGGCTCAAGTGGTAGAGCGCTAGCCTTGAGCTGAAGAGCTGAGGGACAGCGCCCAGGCCCGGAGTTCAGACCACATGATTGAGAAAAAAAAAAAAGACCTTATACCTGAATGAAAAAGAGGTAGGGGCCAGGTGCTGGTGGCCCACGCCTGTCATCGTAGCTATTCAAGAGGCTGAGATCTGAGGATTGAGGTTTGAAGCCAGCCTGGACAGGAAAAGCCAAGAGACTTTTTCTTTTTTGTTGGTCATGGAGCTTGAACTTTGGGCCTGGGCGCTGTCCCTCAGCTCTACAGCTAAAGGCTAGCACTCTACCACTTGAGCTACAGCACCACTTCTGCCTTTTTCTGCTTATGTGGTGCTGAGGAATGGAACCCAGGGCCTCATGCATGTGAGGCAAGCACTCCACCACTAGGCTGCCTTCCCAGACCTCTGGGAGACTCTTATTTCCAATGAACCAACTAAAAAGCCAGAAGTGGAGCTGTGGCTCAGGTGGTAGAATGCCAGCCTTGAACGAAAAGAAGGTAATGGACAGAAACTAGGCCCTAAGTTCAAGCCCCATGACCAGTGGAAGGAAGGAGGGAGGGAGGGAAAAGAAAAGTAAAAGTGGGCTGGGAAGGTGGCTCAGTGGTAGAGTGCTTGCCTCCCATGCATGAGGCCCTGGGTTCGATTCCTCAGGGCCACATACACAGAAAAAGCCAGACGTGGTGCTGTAGTTCAAGAGGTAGAGTGCTAACCTTGAGCAAAAGAAATTCAGGGACAGTGCCTAGGCCCTGAGTTCAAGCCCCAGGACTAGCACAGAAAAAGAAATAGAAAAAGCAAAGCAAAAGCGTTAGGGCGTGCGGCTGGGAACACCACTGCAGTTCCCTGGGGGCTGGAGACCCTGCTGGAGACCCTGAGCCTCATCCTGAAGGCTCAGGATCTCCTCCAGACCCCTCCCCATCTCCCGCTCCTGAGGCTGGGGGGGGGGAGGGGGGAGCCACTCCTCCCTCCCACTTGGAGGAGGGACGTCCCTGCCTGGTTTCCCTGGTTCCTGACTGCCCCTCTGACCCACCCGCCACTGCCCAGCCAGGCTGCAACCACCTTCCCACAGAACCCTCTCACCCCGCACAAAACAGGCAAATGTCCCAGCCTTTGGGGAGCTGCATTCTGGCGGTCGGGGGAGTAGACCTGCGGGCAAGGGAGTGGCACATGGGGGAGACCTGAGTGAAGGCAGGGGAGCAGGCGGGTGGGGGAGGAAGAGGGTGCACCTTGTGCAAAGGCCCTGACGCAGGGCCCCGCCATTCCCCCACCACACGCGCGCGCACACACGCACACACGCACGCACACACACACGCACACACGCACACTGCTCCTGGGTGCCCTCTGGTGGTTGTGTGGGAAGTGAGGGCAGGGCAAGGGAGAGGCCGATGAAGCCTTGCCGTGCTGAGGAGGAGCACCTGCTGTGTGCGAGGGTTATCTGAGGACGCTCAGTGAGCCATCCCTGTGTCTCCACACCCAGGCACACGGTTCGTCTGTCCTCTCAGCCTCAGTTTCCCCCTCTAGAAACTGGGTGCAGGGCTGGGGCGTGCGTCAGCCACGCCGGCGTCTCCCGGGGCGCCCTGACCCCCCCCCCCCGTGTCCCCAGGGCGGCGGCGCAACGTGAACTGCCTGAAGAACGTGGTGATCTGGTACGAGGACCACAAGCACCGCTGCCCGTACGAGCCGCACCTGGCCGAGCTGGACCCCACCTTCGGCCTGTACACCACGGCCGTGTGGCAGTGCGAGGCCGGCCACCGCTACTTCCAGGACCTGCACTCGCCCCTCAAGCCGCTCAGCGACTCGGAGCCCGACAGCGACAAAGGTGGGGGGGCGGGGGGAGGACACGGGGGCTCCG